CCCCTGTGAAGTAGCGCACTCTGAACGTTCTTAGGATTGTTTGAGAGGATAAAGTGAAATTGCAATAGACGCATTATAAATAAGCGCAAAAATAATTATATAATAAATCAAGAGTAGCAGATCCAGGAATTCGAAAATTTATGATTAGGGCATCTCTAAATGGCCGGAAATTTGGCCTACACTCTCGCACTTAAATTTGGATATATTTTTTCCCTTAAAAAAATGAAGTGGGGGGGGGGGGCTGCTCAGAACATTCTTTATCCAGAATAGTCATAATCACGAAAAATGGACATGAAAAACCAGATCATATCCTAAAACAAGCAACAGTCACTAAGACATACATCAGGAGCCGACTCGATGGAGTTTAATGTCATACCCAGGGAAGGGCACAGATCTGCTTTGAAAGGTGGAGGGAAATGGCATTTTGTGAGTTGACACCCACCTCAGCCCCACCATGGTTGGAGCTGAGGTGAGAAAATTTGAGGAAATATTACCTCTAGATGGCCAGAAATGACACTTTTAGTAACATTAATTATCATCACATCACTATTAGTCAAAATGAAGCGCCAAAAAAAAAAAAAAAAAAAAAAAGATCTTTTATCAGGGATTTTTGACAACCATAGAGATCTTATTAATGTGTGTGTGATATACCATAGAAAACAAAGCTTAAAAACATTGTCTTTGAGTATGTACTTCACATAGGGCTACTTCAAAAACGTGATTTCACAAACAACTCGGCCCCACCATGGTTGGGGCTGAGGTGAGAAAATTTGAGGAAATAGTACCTCTCGAGATGGCCGGAAATGACACTTTTATATAGTAAAATTCATCATCATCACATCACCATTATAGTCAAAATGAAACGCCAACAAATTTCTCATGATATTTTATCAAGGAACTACTTAATATCCAGGACAACTTAGGCCTAACTAGCTTACTAAGCTTTAACTATATATACTATACCGGTAGTAATTATGATCAACAAATCACAACTTTTTTCGCATTTAGCACAGTTTTCTTCACTTTTTATTTGCTATTAATAATTATCAATTATTACTATCGTCATCATCATCATTGTTATTATTATTATTATTATTACTATTAGTAGTAGAATTATTAAACAAAAATTTAAAGAAACTTGCAAAAGGATAAAAACGAAAATGAACCACAGTATCGCATTTCTATCTTAAAAGACCTGGCCTGAGATTTATGGATTTAGGCCTATGTGTTCTATTAGGCCTATGTATAACGTGTATTGATGCATATTTATATTTAGAAGTATTCATTTTGAGTGATCCCAGGAAAAAATTTGTATTGGCTCAAGAATAAGCTCTAAAATTTTAAAACTGTGTAAAAAGGGAGAGAGCCGCGGCTCCCACGGCTCCCCCCTCCCCCACCTGGATACGTCCCTGTCTTGGAGTAGGGGTAGTTACATAATTACTTTCTCAGGACCAATATTTAATAATAGACGTAAATGTGTGGGGTTGTAGGGGGTGTATATTTTCTGGGGGTGTGCAGACTGGATCGAGTTGAGGGAGACCTGCTGAGACAACTAGCCTTCTGGAGTACGTAAGAGGATTATCCTCTTTTCCATGTTTTATTTTTAAGGTGGGTGCAGGGTTTTTAAAAGTTTCTTTACTTTTAATGCTTAGTTTTTAGCATGTTTAATTATCTAACTTATCTTAATTTTGTCTCTTCAGTAATGATTTCATGGAAAGCAATAAACTATTACCTATTCTTTGTATACCTTTTTGGGTGGGGGAGGGTCTGGGGAGGGGTGTTGGTTGTTATGTATTTATAATACTTTGCCAGCTGTGGCAAAATTTGCTCCACGTATGTATGGGGTGACTTCACTAATGCACTATTTCACTTTTACAAACATTAAACAACCAATCAACATGCTATAGCGTGGTACTTTTTTGGTCTACTATAGTCATGAGGACAGGGGTGGCGCCAGCGGGGTGGTCGGGGAGAAAAAGCATAGTTCGTCGGGGAGAAAAAAATTATATGTATTTACTACATATTATTAGTAGACTTTAAAATCAATTAAAAATAAGCCTTTAAAACCCCTAAATTGTCAAAATTTTGGGGGGGCTCGCCCCCCCCCCCCATACCACTATCGTAACCTTTTAATCGAAGCTCGACCACGCCCACTTTGCTTTGCTTGTAACAAATTTGGTTTATGTAATTGGCGTGAAATATATATTTCACCCCGAAGTGTTTCCCTGAACTGCTGTTGTCCGAAAGCTCTGGTTCTATTTATGGCTGGTTACTAATACGTTTATTTTTTAGCTGTTGCTTATCAAATTTGTATCGCTACCGAGATCCAGCCATTGTTTTCCCACAGCATTGTTGCTTTGCAGTATTCATTTTATTCATTCATTCATTTATTCTTCCAAAAGTTAACAATAACAAAAAAAACAAAAAAACAAAAAACAAAAAACAGTAACAAAAACATGCAAAGTTTAAAAAATACAGAAAAAAGTATTGAAAACATATAAAGTCAGGCTCCAGAGAAATAAAATTGTTGTTGTAGAACTGATTTTTCTAAGAAAAGTTGCTTGACTAAAATCTGGGGAACGGCTATCTTGATTTATATTATACGCTATTATTTGTTTCCAGCCATACCCATTGTGTAATAGAGTGTATCTGACGTTATTTAAATCTGTTCCAGCCCCTGTAGTCTAATGGTTATGACTCTCCCTTGACAGCCAGATGTCGTAGGTTTGAATCCTGTCAGAGGAATTTTATTATACGATTTCTTTATTTATTTATAGGATAACATTCATTGAGAGTTGTTCTTCACGATGTATTATCGTGTTCTTTATTCAAACACTGTATTTACCTTTCTTTGATGATTTATATATAGAGCCTAATTTAACAGTGTTAACGGCTATCTTCATTTATATGCTATTATTTGTTTCCGGCCGTACCTATTTTGTAGAGTGTATCCGACGTTATTTGAATCTGTTCAACCACCATGAAGCATCGTGGAATGGATGACGCTCGCCTTAACAGCGAGAGGTCGCAGGTTCGAATCCCGTTAGAGTAATTTTATTACACAATTTATTTATTTACAGGCTAATAATAATAATAATAATAATAATAATAATAATAGTAATAAAATAATAAAAGTAGGCCCTAATAATAATAATAATAATAATAATAATAATAATAATAATAATAATAATGATAATAATAATAATAATAA